CTAAAAACCCTAAACCCTAAACCCTAAACCCTACCCAAGGCGGTGCTGGACATGCTGCGAAGTGGGATGCCGTGAGCTTGAAGAAGGTTTAGGGCTTAGGGTTTTTAGGGTCTTCAGGTTTTAGGGTTTAGGGTTAAGGTTTTAGGGTTTAGGGTTAAGGTTTTAGGGTTTAGGGTTCCGGGTTTTTTCGGATCTAGGGTTTGGGTTTCGAGGGTTTCTTAAGCCCTAAACCCTCTCAGGATTTCCATGAGTTGCATCGCAAAGCACATTCCGATTTCAAGCTCCTCTTGCTCTTAGAGCTAGAGTCAGGATCTGGGGGCCGCAAACTGAGGGAGCTAGCATGAATCTAGCTGGTTCACTCGGCTCGTGCCTCTTTGGCCCCCCAGACAGAAGCCTGCTGCAAAAGAGTTTAGGACCTAGGGTTTAGGGTTTTTAGGCTTTTTTAGCTAGAGTTTAGGGCTTTTAGGTTTCTCAGGGTTTTCAAGGTTTAGCGTTTAGGGATTGGTGTGTCATCTTGATGGAGGTTCTCTCTCTAATTCCTCGCGATGTCCTATGGGCTATTAAGCTGCGCAACGAAATCGAAATCTGCAAGGTCGGTCTACTGTGGTGCTCGTGACGAAGGCCGCGCATCGTTGCACAGCTCGCCATTTAGGGTTTAGGGTTTAGGGTTTAGGGGTTAGTTTAGCGTTGTCAAGTGCAACAGCCATTTCACAGCTCACACCCTTGTTCGTGCATTGAAGTCTTGGCAACTGCCAGGCATAAGGCAAAACCCTTGAAGTATAGTCCCCCTTAGGTCCTGTCAATATGGGGTATATGGGGATCTTATTATGATATTGGGCAATGCCATATTCTATCTACCTAAGGGGGGCTGTAAGACTAGCAATTCCGCAATGCCAGAGGATGCCATAAACTTCCCAGTTGCCAGCAGGGGATCGCAGAAGTCTGCAAGCCTGCTATCAACTTTGCTGGCTATAAGTCAGCGCCTTTGCCTTCAGACTCTTGCTACATAATTGCTCTGTATGTATGTATGCATGTATGTATGTATGTATGTACGCGGATGCCGTTCTGAGCCCCCGCCTACTGTAGCAACACTGAGGGCAGCATTTTGGTTTTGCAAGGTGACCCATGCCGGTGCAAGCTCGCGCAAGGGCGGGCGCAAGAACAAATAGTTCCTCACCATGTTGACATGTTGACCATGCATACATGGATATACCATGGTGACATGTGTGTAGATGCCCGCAAGTGTGGGCGCACGGAAGCCCGAACGATGCGGCAATACATACTAGAATTTAGAACAGCATCCATGTTTACATGTATGTTCCACTTTCCATTTCCTACCCGATCTAATGCTCTGCAAGGAACACCCCCAGAGTGAATGATCAAATGGAACATGAAGTGGAGGCTGTTGCATATCTCTACACTCTGTTTCTTGAAGCAGAACCTCTATGGAGTCCATGGGACTCCTGAAGCGCCCGCCGGAGATGCATTTGCAATGTGATGGCCAGGTCGCATAGCAGAGGTTCAGTACCAGAACAGGTCTTCGACAAAGCCAGTGACTCAGCCACGAACAAACTAAACAGCATGTATGTCAGGCTGCAAAGCAAACCAAAAAAACTTAAATCCTAAACCCTACTTTTTGTTTGGAATTCATCTTCAGGCTACAAAGGCATAACCTGATAGAAGCCCCTGAGCCCTATACTTTAAGAAGCCTTAAACTCTCCTAACCCCTCAACGAAAAGCCGTGCCAGCGAATCCCACCACACTGCCGTCCAATTCGGCTTTGCAACTTCCATGTAAGCCATAGTGGAAAATTCATAGTATCCCCCTTAAGAATCCCTATAGTAGTTCCCTATACAATCCCTTATAAACCCCCCTTCTAAGGAGTTTAGATTATGGTGCGTGTGGAGAGGTTCTTAGGTGTCTACCATCCTCTTATGTCCCAGTGATGGTCCTAAGGGGTGATTCAGTTGATGTCCTTACCTTCAGCTAGGTAGGGTTTAGGGTTTAAGTTGCTATAGGGTTTAGGGTTCAGGGTTTAGGATTTAGGTTTTCGGAATGAAGGCATGGAAAAGAAAATTGCAACTTCTATCATGGGTTGCATAGGGACTGCTATAGCTAACCAAAGGTAAGGTCAGGCATAAGCAAAAAACCTTCAACATAACATCCCCAAGTAACCAACAATATATTATCGCAGTTTCCATCGTTTTTCCATTGTTCCCTAGATATATTATAAACCCTAAACTAACCCTCAACCCTATACGTAAGCCTTAAACCCAATGAAGCTGTGTCAAGAGCGTACTTTCCTTGACGCCCTGCTCAGGTATCAAATGACCGTGATCAGAGACGCCTTTATTGAAGGCGGTCGCGAGAAGGAGCCCAGATTCATGCACCACATGTCTGTGCTACTTGTAGGGAAATACTGCACATGAGCTATAGTCTAAACTCCCAGCATCCCCCTTAATAAGCCCTGTAGTACTCCCCTACATAATCTCCCATATAACCTCCCTTTAAGGAGTTTAAGCTATAGCTCACATGATGCTGGTGGGGTAGCTGTGGTGATTTTAGGGCATCCTTTCACGCAGGCTTTGTCAACTTGAAAGCCGCTGCTTCTGCAGGGGTCATCAGGGATCCCTGCAGGTGTGGAAAGTGACCCTCAGGTGATTGATGAAACAGGGTTTAGGGTTTAGGGTTTAGGGGTTATATAGGGATAATGGAAAAGAAAATGGAAACTACTATAGGGTTATATAGGGTATATTGGGATTATATAGGGGTTATATAGGGATAATGGAAAAGAAAATGGAAACTACTATATTATAATAGGGTATATATTGGGGTTATATCAGATAGGCTTGTTGTGGAGGCGTTCTGCTGATGGACAAGGAAGCTAGGACCAGCATCGGCACTTTGCTATAAGTGGGCCTGTTCTGGAGCATCACTGGCCAGGGTAAAGGAGCGCAGCACTGACCCACATGCGCAGGCTCTCGCAGAGGAGAGGTGAGAACTTGTCAGGAATGTCAGGGCAGTGGCGCCTGTGAGATCCGTGACGCCTTCACATGAATAAGCAGCCGAGGCGTAAGCATACTTTCCTCGGTTCAAAGCAAGATCCGGCACACCGCGCCTCTCATCTTCTTTGCCGGCATTCCTCTCTCTATCTACTGTTTTGCAAGCAAGGCACCAGACGCCTAGAAGAACGACTCCGTTTGTTGCAAGCTGCTTGCCCTACCTTCAGAAGCTTTGCAATCACATGTCCATACTGACAGCTCTTGCTTGGCCCCCCAGAGCTGTCACGAGCCCGGGTGCAGAGGGGCAGGCAGTTTGGGCTTGAGGGAAGCGCTCACAGCG